CTGGAACCCCCCATTCTGGCCACTTGAGCTTTTCTACCTGCTGACCTATCCCTCCGTTTCCCAGGTAGGGGGCAATGGGTGTTCAGTTGGACCACAGTTTTCTCTACTCAACCGCCCTTTCCCAGTAAGATCTCACCCCAGGTCACTCTAAGGATGGCCCCAGGCTCTACACTTCCTTCTCCACTCCCACTTGCCCTCCGCAAGCTAGCCAGATGCTCCTGGCTCTGTATCCTCTGTGCTTCTCTCCTCCCTGCTAAGAACCTTCCATGGTTCCCATAGCCCCCAGCTTAACTGCTCTATACTTTGTAACCTTCCCAAGGCCTGCCCCTTATCCCTAGGGTCTCAAGACCCTCAGGGCCATCCCTTCCATGAATAACGCTGAGGAGGTCATAAGAGGCTTGACCGTGTGCATTGATTGCACAGTAGCAGGGCTGGCCACTAGGCATATGTTAGCTCCTTTGGTCCTGATAGATGGGGATACTAAGGCCCGAGGGGGCTGCTGATGGCCCAGGTTTCCAAGCATTTGAGGGAGCCAGTCTGGGGACCTGACCACTTGACTCCTGAGCTCTCCTTTCCACCTGTATGAACTTAGGTGTGGCCTTCTGCCCATGGAAGAAGCAGCATCGGTTGGGACATTGTCCTTGGTGGCACCTGAGGGAGACCTGAGGGACTGTGCCTGGACCAGGAGGGGGTGGTATCCCTGGGCTTTCCAGCTTAGCTCCTCTTGGTTACCTCACCAGCTCAGGTTGCTGCTACCAGCATCCTGCCAAGGCGTGGTGGACCAGAGACAGCAGAGTCCAGTGTCACCACCACCACGAAAGCCCCCTGGCCTATGCTATATGCTGGACTTTGCTCAGTGTCTCCCCACACCGAGCACCCTGAGTTCCACCTCACACAGAATAGACACCATGGCAGTTCTGGGGCTGCTGCCCTGACCCTATTCCCATCTCAGCCCTAACTTTTCCCTTCTAATCCCACTTGCCTAGATCTTCCCCCATACCAGCCTCTCTGGCCCTCCCCAGCACCAGTGCTTCCTAATAGGATGCAATTCTGGTTGTGCCCACTCCTTCCCAAGCCACCCTTGTGGGCTTTAGAGACCGCACCTCTTGGGTCTGAACACTCTGTGGCCTCCCATCTCTATGGCCTGAGGGTCCTTGCTCAAATTCAAGGTCACTTTTCCCCTACAAGCAACTCATCATGAGATTTCCCTGGACAGTGGGCCAGGCCTTTCCCCATGAGATGTCCATCTCACTCACCAGCCCATGACAATAGGAAAAAGGTTCCCCCCCCCCCAACCCTTCCACACCTAAGATAACATAGACACCAGGGAAGGCCACACCTAAGATAACTTAGACACCAGGGAAGGCATGACACAGAGAGGGCTTATCCTAAAGGGCTGGACCAGGCTCTTGTGTCCTCACCCCAACCCTCCTGCCCACTTGAGACAGTGCCCACCTGCTGGCCCTGGAATATCTGTTTCAGGTTTACCCATACCACTGCCTCCCCAAGCAGAGTGACCACTGGGCAGGCCACATCTGCGACCTGTCTTGGCCTGCCCCAGGGATGGGACCCTGGCTTTGAACTGCCACCAAGCCTGTCAAAGATTTCACGACTGGTATCATCCTATGTTGCTGGATGCCGATGCTGGCCTCCTGTAGCTACCTTCTCCCTGGTATCCAGGACAGACCCTAGTCTTTGCCCCTTGCTTGTGAATGTTCTGGGTTGGGGCACTGGAACCGGCAAGGAAGGCCTCCACGTGGGTTCATGTCCTCTTTGCTCTGTTTCTCCACCTAAGGGTTCTGTGGTCATTTTCATGGCCACAAGCACATGAGGGCCACAGGAGGGTGGGCTCCTGAGAATAACAGACACCTTGGTAGTCTCAGGAAGCCCAAGGTTTGGTAGTCTCAGGAAGCCCAAGGTTTCCTGATCACCTCTAGGCCAGTGGTGTCCAGCAGACTTGGAGTAGGAAGGGTTCCCTCCAGGAAGCCTAAAGAAGGCACCCCACCACACACATGCACCTTCTTGCTTTGGTTCCTGGCCCCAGCTGAAACTTCAGCTTTCCCCAGGACCAGGAGCGAACCCTTCAGCTGACCTAGAAATCGCTGGACTGGTCAGCTGCCTGTAGGGGGCAGAGTTGAGTCAGGGATGGAGGCCTGAGCCCCTCCGGGAACTCTGAGGGAGGACAAAGGGTGGGCGGCTGAAAGGACTGGATTTAAAATGGGTATTCTTGGACCCTGGGGGGGACTTGGGGGGGGGTTGAATGGGTAAGGGGGCAGCAGAGGAGCTAGAAAGGGGGGCTGGTGTCCCCAGCGGGAACTAGCAGGCAGTAAATATGGCCACAGGGGCCACCTTGAGCTGTGGGAGTCCCACTCAAAATGGGGAGCAGCCTGGGGGGGTCTGCACACACTGCTGGTCCTGGGTGAGGACCAAGCTGCGCCCCCAGGCCCTGAGATACTGTGCGTGTAGGGGAACAGGGCCCCAAGTCCTGGCCCCTTAGGCTGAGCCCCAGGCCACAGAGCCAGAACAGACAGGAAATGGCCTGATTGCATTTGCACAGGAACACCAAATCCCTCGCAGCTGCACTCAGCCGGGCCAGGGCCACGGGCGGGGCGGCCATCGCCAGAGTCCTGACAGCCCCGTGGAGCGTGCCAAGGGGTCTGGGCCGCTGGCCGGGGGGCGCCTTTCCCAGGCCAGAGGCCCCCACCCCACCCCAGGAGAGCCACCCCCTTTCAGTTCCCAGAACGGAGCCCAGCTGTGGAATAGTGAGGGGGTGAGGTCATGGGGAGGGGGCCCGCATTACTCATATCCTGGGGCAGGCGGGAAGGGAGGAGGCAGGGGAAGGGGCCCCCGGGCCTCTTGTCCTCACTTGCTGGGTCAGGAGCTGGGGGACAGCGGGGTTTCTCCCCAGTTTGGGGCTTGAGGGAGCACTGTGAGATGTGTACCCTGAACCCCAATCTGTTGGGGGAGGGCTAAGTGGGGGTAACTTTCAGGGGGGGCCAGCTCCATGAGACGTTCCCAGAAAACACACCTTGGCCTCCTGCCAGGCCCAGCTCCACTGTTGTCTGGGTGATGTGGAAGAAAACAGTAAATAGTGAGGTGGGGGCCACTCACAGGAATCTAAGAGGGGGCTGAGGGGGCCCCGACTTGCCACTTTGTGATCCTCTATCCCCAGGCCTAGGTCTACACTTGGTCAGTGCTGTCTGTGTGTGTGCACGTGTGTTTTGTGCACATGTACAAGCTTGTATGTGGCTGTGTGTACCCTCACAGGCACTCGGAGAACATGTGTGCGCATGTCTGTCCTGCCCATGTCAGACCTGGGTGCAGCTCTGTGGGCCCCATGACTCTGTGTTGCTGTCTCGGACGGGGCCCTCAGAGGCTTGCGTACATTTGTGCTTTTGGTGGCCCCCTAAGACTGGTGGAGAAGTTCAGGGAGAGGACAAAGGCCCTTGGCTCCACGGAGGGAGATGTGCCACGTAGAGGGGCCCAGGCCAGCCAAAAGGTGGAATTGAGGCACAATTACATACCCACTTGGGCAACACACACATAGCTGACACTTGCACAGGCACACCCATTCTGCTTGTCCTTTCCCAAAACCCAGAAATGGGAACAAAACCCATGTCCCAGTGATCACTTCCAAGAAGTGGGAACAAAGCCTCCTGCCCATCCTGTTCTGCTCCCATCATCCATTTGGGGGCTACTGGTATGCATGGGCACAGGAGAGGGACCTGGACACAGGCTCAGCCAACAACCCCCGGATGAATATGTCCAGCAGACCCTGCTGGCTGTGGAGCTGGGAGGCCAACCGCATCTGCCAGGTGATGGGAGCCAGGTGTGGGGAATTAAGGGCTTCCTGGGGCTGGAAGTTGAAGGCCCTTTGAGGAAGGAGCAGACGGTTTGGGGTGCAGAGCTTGAGCGGGTGGGCAGGTTGCGGCTGGAGTCCCATGTGGCTGCAGCGGGGGGGAGCAGGCCCCGCACTGGAGCCTGTGGAGAGGCCTGGCTTTCGTCTGAGAGGCTTAGGGGAGACCTGGAGAGATTAGATCATGTGCTGGCAAGGATGCCTGGCCAGGGGACTGAGGCCCAGAGGGGAGTGGGCTGTGGGGTCATGCGGCGGACACTGGCAGGAAAGGACTGAGACCCCAGCAAGGAGACCCAGCCCTATACCAGCTCTAGCCTGGCTCCCTGGGCCTGGGGACAGTGAGAACCAGAGACCCTGACCTCCCTTAGCCAAACTAGGAGGGGGCCCAGGATGGCCAAAGCCTTTAGTATCTGCTGGACACCAGTGATGAGATCTGCTGGTCAAGGGCTCCAGATCCCCGGCCCTTCTGTGTCTTTCCCTGACTGCCCCCAGCCCTGGGGTGAGGGGCTTCAAGAAGGCTGGTGTCTAGGTGCTCTGAGGGCAGCAGCTCTTCCCACCTCAGTTTCCTCACCATGGAAAACAGTTCAGGGAGATGTCACAGAGAGCTCAGAGATGAAGTTGGTGTGCCAGTCAAAGCACCCCAGCAATGGGCTGAACATGAGGAAGGTGGGGCTAGGATGAGGACCGATATAGAGACAGGGCATGCCCTGCCTGGCTGGCCAAGTGCAAGCCCTCCTCACCCTCGAACCCCAGACAAGGGTCACCTCCTCTCAATATGGGATGGAGTACCCCGGTCTGGTAAGGTGAGGCAGGCTGCCTGCATGGTCATTTGTCAGGGTTGCTGATGAGGGCCAGCGTTCCCTCCTAGATCCCCTCTGTGCCAAAGCCACACTTCTCTAGGTCCTGCCTCTGGTAAGGTTCAAGAACAGGTTGGTGGAACCAGGCAGATGATCTCTGGTGCTCTTCTGTCCCCACAAGAGTCCTGGATCCTCAGCCTGGCCCAGAGGCATCTTTACAACAGCTTTGCATGACCTGAAGATTGGTAAACTGAGGCCTAGAGTACTGGTCCAGGGTCTGGGCTCACCCATCTTCACCATGTGGCACCCTGTCTTGGCCCTGGTATGACTGTCTTTCTGTTTCCCAGGCTCACCACCCAGTGGAGTGTGGAGGATGAAGAAGAAGTGGCCCGGGAGCGGCGCCGGCGGGAACGAGACAGGCAACTGCAAGCCCAAGACCAGTATGAAGATGGCCAGTCCCCAAACTGGCCAGAGCAGGAGGCGCTGTAAGCCACTCTGGCCCTGGACCCTGGTATCTTGCAGCCTATGCAGACAAGAGTGCTGGTGGTCAGACCCTGGACTTCAGGGTCCCAGTCCAGGAACAATCTCAGAAAATACAATGTTCTCAGGGTGAGGGTAGCCAGCAGCCTTGGGTGACCCTGTCTGTTGGATCTCTAACTGGACAGAGGGTCCACAGAGCCACGTGAAGTGACCCCCTCCCACCAGCCTCCTGGGGGCTCTGACTCAAGTTTTGGACTCCCTGCCTGGCCCCAGCCCTCACTTGGACTGATGCTGACCCCAGCCACGTAGTCCTGGCCCCTGACCCCCGCCCAAACTCCCTGCTGCCGGTGACTCACAGAGGCCATGTCCAAGTTGGCGGCCACAGTCCGGCTCGTTTCCTTCCTGGGCCCAGGAGGCCCCCGAGGCTGGGCCGGGCTGTTTTTCCAATAATGCTCCCCTTCCTCTTGGCCCTGTTTTGTTCCATTTTCTCCGAGTCAGCAGATTGGGGTGGGGTGAGGTACTGCAGCGGTCATGGCCCCTTTGCTGGGCCCTTTTTCATTCCTGAGCCTGGGAGCAGACTTTCCAGCTTCTAATACTGAGTAGTTTACCCTGCTGCTCAGCAAGGCCCGTAAAAAGCCACACGGAATAAACCTGGGGCTGCAGCAGCCTCTGGAAGCCTGAGACTAAAGGGAAAAGCATAGTCCTGTTCTCTGGGTGCCCCCGACTGATGGGGGAGGCACAGTCCCACTCCCAGAGATTCTCTGACTACAGGGGGAGACACAGCTTAACTATGGGGAGCCACTTGTGAGGCAGATGGGGTCTCCTACAAATGAAGCCAGGGGTCTAAGGTGGAAGACAAGGACAGGGTATGAGGGTAGGGGGGAGCACACCCCAGCTCAGCCCTAAAACCCTGCACTGCGCTTTCACCCTCAGCCTGAAGCCCTCAGAGACCCCTGAACTGGATGAAGACGAGGGCTTTGGTGATTGGTCACAAAAGCCTGAACAACAGCAGCAACCTTGGGGGACCAAAGGGTCTGCGGACAGCAGCAACCCTCCTTGGGGCAAGTGCCCAGAGAGGGAGCAAGAGGAGGACAGGCAAGTGGAGATCAAGTTCTGGGGGCTGGGCTTCTGGACAGCAGCCCCACTCACCCTGAGCCCCTACCTGTGTCTGAGTAGCAGCCTCTGCTCTCCTTTCCCAACCAGCCCCCACCAAAAGCCCCCGTGGTTCCAAAAGGGGACAACGGAGGGAAGGGAGGAAGGGAACAAGACGGCAGGGAGGCCTACAAGGGGCTGCAGCGAGGGGGCGGTGAGGAAATTTCATTCCTGGGCTCCCTAGGGCCCCTGGGCCCCATCCAGACCAGCTGCGGCCGGCGGGGATTGGAGGGGGGCTGCCACATCAGCACGCAGCTGCAGCCCACTGACGTAATGCAGGCTCTGCAGCCTGCACCCCCCTCCCTGGGGGCTGGCTGATCTCCATTCCCACGAAGGGGAGCAGGTATTTCCAGATGTGTGCCTTCGAGGCTGCCTGGGGGTGGGGGGGACACAGTTTCCAGATGTGTGGACGTGTGTGCCTGTCTGAATCAGGATGGGTGGGGGCCCAGACCGCTGGGATCGGTGGATGGGGGCTCCTCCTGAGCCTCACCTTGCCCTCCCCCAAGTCAGGGTCTGAGCTGCTCTTAGTAACTGATGGACTACATATGAGGACGACCCCACCTTGCCCTATCAGGACTGGGGTATGGGTCTCCAGTCCTGCATGGGAGCTCCCAGCTTGGGAAATTGCCTACACTCCCTAATCTGGGCCCCTCGAGCTCCCTAGACCAGCTGGGGCTCTGGTTCAGCCCTCTCCCATGTCATGACCACCCCATTTTCACCCTACAAACAGGCTCCCACACCCCAAGAGTCATCTGCCTATCCTGGCCCTGGTCCTGGCCTGCCTACTGCTGGCCTCAGTTTCCCACTCCCCCCAGCCCACGCCTTTGGCTGCACAAGCTGTCTCTGAGATGGTGCAGCTGTAGCCCTGCCCGCTGGCTTCCTGCCTTCTCGAGCCCAACGGCAGGGGGCACTTTTGCTCTACTGGTGGCTCCCTGAGCCCCTGCACTCCCACCCCACCCCCCCACACCTGATTGTCGGTTCCCAGACCGCCAACGCCTGAATGGCCCCTCTGTGTGGCTGCCGCTGGCTGGGACCTGGCCCACCTTGGGCGGTGGGTCTGGGTCTTGGCTGGCAGGTCCGCCAAGGGGCCTGAAATCATGGAAAATGCAAGAATTTACCATCTTCTTCTCCAGGTTCAGTCCCGCTCAAGTGAAGAGCCACACCCAGCTGCCAGCTGGCTGCTTCCCCTCCCGGGTGGCCCCTCTCCTCAGTGAAGTGTGCCTGCCCTAGCTGACCCAGTCCCAAAAAACACCCCTGCACCCCACCTCCCCCCTCTCAACGTTCTGCTTCACTGATCTACTTGCCTACAGCTGGAGTAAGGCAGCCAGGCAGCCCAGGCAGCCCAGGCAGCCCAGGCAGCCCGGACCAGTAGAGAGGTCGTGTACAACCCCTTTGGAGCTGGCCCTGCCGGGATAGGGGGCTTCAGAGAGAAGTGCTGCCTCAGTGCAGGAGTGGCCCTGCTCAGCAGGAACCATGCAGGGGCATGCTGTTCTCAAATGGGCCTCAGGACCTCTACACAGAGGCTCTCAGAAAATCAGCTGCTTGTGAGGTTGCTGGGCCTCCTTCCCCTAAGAAGCTGGGGTCTCAGAAGTCCTCAACATTTAACTGTCTGGCTGCCCCTATTTTACGAATGAGGAGACTGAGGCTTGGAACTAGGAACAGACTGGAATTAAGCAATTAAATGGCTGTCAATGGCTTTGCCTCCTTTTCTACCCAGTAGGTCCTGCCAGTGTCCCTGTGAAAATGACAACAATGGTGGTGAACTTCATCATACAAAAGCCCACCTGGAGGGACTGTGTCTGGACCAGGAGGGACAGGGCCCAGAGGAGGAAGCAGTCCAGGACCACCTGGGGGCTACAGAAACTGGAGAGGCAGAGGAGGAGAAGGAGGAGGAAATGGAGGAGGAGAAGGAGGGGGAGGAGGTGAGGGTTCTGCTGAGGGCTGAGGGCTGAGGGCTGAGGGCGGATAATTGCTCTCCCCGGGCTGGGTTGGCCTTTGGTTCCTGTTCTACAGTGAGGGATTTGTGGACTGGCCCAGTGCCCCCTACCCTAGAGTCTTACTTTAGGCCCACATTCTCAGAGGGTGGAGGCAGTGAGCCTAGTGACCCCCGCTCTGGCGGGAAAATTCCAGGGCTGGAGTGAGAATCAGAGCCAGACAGGGCCTGAGGCCCAGGGAGGGGAAAGGGTATGCTGCACAAGCTCTAAGGAGGGGCAGGAGTGTTGCAAGGAGGGGTCACTGGGTTATCTGGTTTTGTGTCTCCAGCACCAGAAATTTCTACCTCCCAGAATCCCCAGCCCCCTGATCTTAGAGGGGACCACCGAACTGCGCTCACCTCCCCTGAGCCCCACCACCAAAGTAGGTCAAGCCCAAAGCCTCCTGTTCCCCCTCCCCAGGCTCCTGCTCCATTCCTTATCCACTTCCCCCTGCTCCTTGCTCATGGCCAGTGCTCAGTAAAGCCTCTTGACAGGGAAGTGGGTAGTGGGATTGATGGGTGAGGCTTCTAGGGGATGGTGTGTGCGCCTCACTTTGGCTGCCCAAGGTGCATGCTTCTGCCCAACCCCACAGCTCGCTGACAGGACAGAGTCCCTGAACCGCTCGATAGAGAAGAGGTATGTCTGTCTGCTCTCCAGGATCCTTTAGGAGGAGTTGCAGAGAATAACGAAGGGGTGCAGATCTGGGATCATGGAAGCCCCTGGGAGTGGTGCAGGGTGGGCTAGAAGGACCCTGGCAGAGACACATGAGGCTCAACATTTGTGCCTTCCAGTAACAGCGTGAAGAAGTCCCAGCCGGCACTGCCCATCTCCAAGATTGACGAGAGGCTGGAACAGTACACTCAGGCCATTGAGGTATGCCCTCTGTCAGATCCCTCCTCCCTTCAGGCACCATTTCTCCATCAACCAACACTCCCTCCACCCAGTCAGTGTCAGCTAGCCAGCCAGCCAGTGTCCCTGCATTCAGCCAGCACTCTGCCATCTTACCAATGTCCCTTCAGCCAGCCAACACCTCTCCATGGAAACACTCCTCCACCCAACTAACACTGTCATCTTGTCAGCGTCTGTCCATTCAAGTAATGTCGCTCTTCCCAATATCCTTCCTTCTTCTAAGTCAGACCTCTCCATTCACCCAGCTCTCCTCTACCCATTCAGTGGTTCTCCATACAACCAATGTTCCTCCATCAACCTCCCCATTCCTCTATCCTAAAAACACTCCTCTATTCAACCAACCCATTTAACCCATGTCCCTAAACCCACCAAACTCCAGTCAGTGCCCTCCATCTGGTCTCCATTCCCCCAGACCTATGCCAGGAGTAGCATGTGGTCAGGCTGCCATTCCTTCCCAAGAAGTCCCAGAGCACATGGAGGGAACAGAGGGGAGCATTGAACTTTCCTTGGGCAGCTTCTGGGCTAGCCTGACCTTGGAGACACAGAATTTTGGGCCCACATGTCTTGTGTGCCATTATGTCCTTCATGCTTTCAAAATAAGGGTACATTTCATAAGTACATGGAATGAAAGAAAACACATTTTTTCCAGAGTACCTGGCTCTAGCCTGCATTGGGAAAACCCTCTGGGGGAAATAAAGATAAGAGGCGCCCCAGGACCCTCTGATATGCTTAATGGAGACAGTTGAGTAATGCTACCCTGGGGCTCTCTCTCTTCTGCAGTCTGCTGGCCGAACCCCCAAGCTATCCCGCCAGCCTTCCATAGAACTGCCCAGTATGGCTGTGGCTGATACCAAGAGTCGATGGGAGACTGGTGAGGTGCAGAGTCAGTCTGCTACCAGGACTCCCTCCTGCAAGGTAGGGTCCTTCCTTAGGCAGGGTTGGGTTGGGTACTTAAAGCCTGGGAGGTTCCCTTGAGAAAGCAAGTAGTAGATCAGAGCCCTAAGATATGTGAAGGAGCCACTCTGAGGGGTCTGGGTGAAGCCCATGTTGAGTAGTGATAGTACATTGTACCTTCTGTCCCTTCCTGCCTCTGCCCTCGGGGTCTCACTTCCAGAGGGAAGAGGGGTAGGTCTCTCTAGCCCTGTGGCCAGGGAAGGCCAGGCAGAAAAGAAGGATCCAGGGGTCCCAGTCCCATAACAGCTCTCTCTTATGACCCCAGGATATTGTTGCTGGAGACCTGAGCAAGAAGAGCCTCTGGGAGAAGAAAGGAGATTCTAAGACATCCTCGACAGTCAAGGTGGGTCTTGGTGTCATCGGTACAGGCTGAAGGTGGCAAAGAGGGGACCCTTTCATCTGAGAGGGCTTCCCAGATGTAACAGCCTCTCCTTTTCAAGGGTCTCTCTTTGACTTTTGTTCTCCTTCCCCAATAGAGCACCCCATCTGGGAAGAGATACAAGTTTGTGGCCACTGGCCATGGGAAGTACGAGAAGGTGCTTTTGGATGAGGGTTCGGCGCCTTAGGCCACACATTTTGGTAAGTCCAGGGCAGTGACTGGAGCATAGAACATTGTACGTGAAATGTGTCATTCTGCTACAATCTGGAAATAATGGCAGAGTGGACAAGATCTGCTTGTCCACCACTCTGGGCCCTGAGGCCTGAAGTCCTAGCCTCAGAAGTGGTTACATACCAGAACCATGCTGGTCTTACAAACTCTAGACAAACTCATTCCTTATCTCGACCAAAATTCTGTGTCTCCAAGGTCAGGCTAGCCCAGAAGCTGCCCAAGGGAAGTTCAATGCTCCCCTCTGTTCCCTCCATGTGCTCTGGGACTTCTTGGGAAGGAATGGCAGCCTGACCACAGGGAGGAAGTAAACAGGACAGAGGCCCCAGGTGCAGGGCTCCACATGTGTTGGTACACTCCTGTAAAGAGGCCATTGAAAGGTTTGCTGCCCCAACCTTGGTAAAGAGAGGGAGCTAGCACTTGCATGGTTAGAAAAGTGTTTATTGGTCACCCAGGTCCCAGGCTCGACTCACAAAGCCCATTGCAGCTGGTGGCACAACCAGCCCACTCCCATTGCCTTCTTCCCCTGCCAAGTCCTGCGTGGTAGCTGTGGCTGGAGGTCTCTCCTGGCCACCTCTGAGTCCCTCTCTTCTTGGCTGGAAGCCCATCAAAGTTGCTTTTTGCAGCTTGAGATCCCTCTAGTGCCCCTGCAAAGGCCCCAGCTTTCCTTCTACACATTTTGACCAGGTTGATGTCTCAGCCCTGACACTGAGAATGCCTTTCTCACTCTGCCACCAAAGCCCAATGTGACTAGCAGGGTGTCCCTGGCCCCTCTCCAATCAACAAGCCCCTAAGAAACTTCCAGCCCAAATAGGGAAGCAGAAGGGTGCAGTGAACAGGACCATGACCAGGCCTCCTCCACTGTCCAGTCAGCTTCCTTCCCACCTTTGAGCAGCCCTCATCTACGCCCGCTTGCATCATGGCATGGGGTCTGTCTGATAGGGTCTGGCTCCTGTAGTCCCTCGAGTCTTTCACGAGCACCCAAATGCCAACCAGCTATTGGTGCTGGTGACAGTTCTGACATCAACAGAAGGAAATATGTCCCCCAGACTTTGGCAATTGGGGAGCGTGCTGCCAGGTCTGCCTGGCAGTCAGTGAATCTAACTTCCCCCCTCATCACACACTTGTGTATTTTCCCTCTCACCAAAAGTCTCACCCCTCCAGCTCCCACATTATCTTGATCAGACTCATTCCCTGACACCAGTGAGACCTGGCCTCCCTTCCTCATTCTCCCTGCTTTCTCCACCTTTCTAGCTTATCCTTCCTGACCTGTCGTCTTCCATCAGTCTCTTCTGGGCACCAGGATGCACCTTTTCTAGGCTGTCCCCATACTTCTCCCCGACCTGCCTCCCCCCACCCCATACCCTACTGTGTGCTTCCTCCTGCAATGGCTGTAGCCTCCACACTGGGGCTCAGCCATCTTCTGTCCACCCTGTGGTCTTGGACACTTCACCACAGCTTCCAGCCAGTTGCTGTCCGATTGAAGTTCTTGGGCTGGGGGCTTAGTGCTACAAGGGGTTGGACAGTGGGAGGGGCCCGCGCAACCTCCTGCAGCTTTCGGGCATTGAAGCGGGGCCGGTATAAGAAGGGTAGGCGGGTGAGGCCAGCCAGGGATTGCTCGCCCGCTGTGGGCCCTGTTGAGTGGTTGCGAGACTTGGCCACTGACATGCGGTACAACACAGCATCCCACATTCTGGAGGCCCGGGAGGCAGGGGGCCGGGAGCTAGTTGCAGTGGGTGCCCCCAGCTGAGCAGGCTCCAGGCTGGTCTCTTGCCCTGGGAACTGGGGTTCCTCTGCCTCTTCCATTAGCTGCTTTTTGAGGCGTGTCCAGCCACTGAGCCGGGGCTTGGGTGCAACTTTAGGGGCAGGGCTTGGGTGGGGCCCTGATGCTAGGGACAATGGGACCCGCACAACTTCTGGTGCAGGGCTGGTTATAGGCAACTGCCCCAAGTGCCCAGCCTCAGGTGCTGCAGGGGCCAGGCTGTATGGTGAGGGTCCAGGTGAGCGGTAGGTGGGGGCAATGGGCACCACCACCCTGGTCCCAGTCTCTCTGGACACAGAGGCCTGGAAGCTGGATGGTGGCCTCACTATAGAGGGCTCCTCAGACTTAGGACTCACAGCCTGGGCCCCAGTAGGCAATGGGCGGATGTGGGCTACTGGGATCAGAGGCTGGGTACTGGGTGGACCTGGGGCTGGTTCTCCACTCTGGATGCTGGGTCCCCCATTCAGGGCTGTCCTTGGTGACTCAGGAGTTCCTGCACTCGGGGATGGTGCCAGCTGGATGTGCACTTGAGCGACATGGGTAGCCCCCATCGTGGGGGCCAAGACAGAGGCAAAGCCACTGGTGGGCCGGATGGGCTCTGGAGCTGGGGTTTCAAGACTTGAAGGAGCCTGGAAGTGTGCAGCCAGAGCCTGGCGCTGAGCGAGGCTGAAGGAGAATGTGGATCTCTGCAGGGGCGAGGCCACATGGTGGATGACTGGGGTGTGTGGGGAGCGGGGCAGGGGCACCACAGTGTGTGGGGCCTCAGCAGAATGTGGGGCTACAGCAGGACGTGGGGCCTCAGCAGAACGTGGGGCATCAGCAGGATGTGGGGCATCAGCAGGACGTGGAGCCGTGGTCTCCAGGTCATGGCTGGCTTCGCTCACAGGGGACAGGGAGGCACGGAAGGCTCCAGGTAGGGCAGGGGCAGCCCCTGCCATCTTCTTCCGAGCCGCCTTCCTCAGAAGCTTCTGCAGACGCAGGTTGTCTTTCCCTGGTTTAGGCAGCAGGGGTGGAGGGGGGCCAAAGGTCCCCTGGGGGCTCCGGCCACCAGCCCCCAAAGGCACTGAGGCAGTGGAGATGAGCATCACTGCACCCTGGAGGGGGAGGGACACAGTCAGGCCAGCCCTCCTGGTGATGGGGACTATTGTCTCCCATTCTCTACGAGGCCGGAGGTATGACATTTGCACTACCAGAAGCCCTCTGCCTGACACTCAGGATCTACCAGTGTTTTCTAAGCATAACTGGTTGTGGGCAGGGCCCCCATATCCTGGTTTGGAAGTGAGCCCCAAGAGCTACAGCCTCTTGGCAGATGATAAAAGCTGGAACCTGCCTCTGTCCACGATTCCCTGCACAATGCCAATCTCTCATGCACATAAGCTCAGCCAGTCATAGTGCTATGCAGGATAGGGGGCGGGGGACCCACAAGCAAACTCCAAGTGGGAGGCTTGAGCCTGGCCGGTTACTGACTCTGGCCAAGGGCAGGAAGAGCAGGCCACCCGCAAACACGTGAGGGGCGCCATGCTGTCGCCAGCCCAACCACAAGTGCGTCGGTCTGCTGCAAGCCAGTGGTAAGGAGCGGCAGCCAAATGGCTTGGGATAGCTGAGGCTGCATCAGCAGAGGTAGATTGGCCGGAAGGTGGGAGCGATTTTTGCTGAGCTACACTAAATAGGATATTCCTGCAGACCTCCTGCCCAGGGTGGTCCTGGCCAAGCCACCCGCCTTGGTTTCTGGGCGCCACGTGTTTGCAAGGACGTTGACAAATGGCATCTGGGACGAGCCAGAGGGAGTCTGGTTTGGGAAGGAGGGAGGCCTTGGGCTGCTGCCTGAGGGGCTGGCTCTAACGTGGCGTGAGCTATCTGCCTAGGAGGGCCCAGAAGGGGTCTGTTTCTTCACTCTCAGCTGCTGGCCGTAGAACTGCAGAACTGAGGGAGCCCCACACTCTGAGGGGCTGCCAGGGTGGGTGGATAGCACTCCCTCTACTTTGAGATGGTCCAGGGCAGGGCCCACATTTGAGCACCAGAGTTTACCCCACGGGGAGCTGGTTTCCCAGGTGGAGGCTGAGACAGGGCACTTTTGGTTGTAGAAATAGGGTGTGCTCAGGGCCAGCAGTGTGGAGGGAGCAGAGAACTGAGTCCTTCAGGAGATACAGCTATAGCTCCCCCTCAGACTCCAGGCTAATGTTCCTCATGCCCCATTCCTGTATTTGACAGGTACAGGCTAGCAGTATCCTCTACTCTTCCAGGGGAGACTCCAGCCAGATGCCACTGTGGCCTCCAGCCTTGGCTAAGAAATTGCTTCTGATCACCAGCATGGCCTGCTCCTCCCCACTCCACCCCCACCGCTGCCCCAATACTCCTGCTACCTCCACCACCTCCTTTTGTTCCTGGACCCTCCAGCCTCTAGGCTTTCCTACTCTGATACCCCAGCTCTGTCCCTCAACTGGGGAAGGAAAAGAACTCCTGACCTTGGCTAAAGAGGCTGCTTCTTAGAGCAATCAAAAGCCCCTATGGAAGGCCAGAGACTGAGGCCCAGTCTGTTCAGAGGGCTAATTACCACACCAGACCTAAGGGACGCCTAAGGCCATGCTGTATGCTCAGGATTCTTAATCTTTCTTGCTCCCTGCTTACAAGACCTCACCCCATTTTGTGCAATAAAATGTCTCAAGAGTCCCTCGTGTGCTGGCCTCCTTTGCTTTCCAACTGGGGAGGGATGAGGGAGTGTGACTGGCCAGGACAAAAAAGCCACATCAGTGGGACAACCTATGCACTGTATAGTGCTTGCTGTCCCAAATTCAGGGCCTGTCCCATGTCCTTCAGAAGCATTAGATTGTAGGATTTGAGATGTGAGATATAAATTGGGGTATTCACATTAGTTGAGACCCCTGCATTCCTCTTCCAGGATATCTGTAACTTCCTGGCCCAATATAAATCTCACAACACTAGAACCACTGGACTTGTGTGTGCCCTGTCTGTGCATTCACTGAGGGGAAGAGCTACCACAGGGCTGTCCCCACGATCTCCCAGTTCTGTGTCTCACAGTTAGGGAAGGAAGAATAATTCTGGTGTTGGCTAAAGGAACCATTTCCTAGCCAAGAGCCCCTTGGGAAGGAAAGACTGAAGCTCAACCTGTGCAGAGAACTGGTCACCCCATCAGCCCTGAAGGACACCTGATTTCAAGTTGGATAGAGGTCTGAATGAATGAGTAGATGAATGGATGGATGGATGAATGGAGGTGAAGAATAGACAGATGAACAGATGGATAGGTGAGTGGTTGGGTGGTGAGATAGATTTACTAATGGGTAGATATAGATTAATTGGTGGAGGGACAGATAAATGTATGGACAAGTGGATGAATAATGGGTGAATGATGAGGAATGGGTAGGTAGACAAATGGATAGATGAATGGATTGATGGATGGATAAATGGACTGATGGATATATGGATGTATGGATGAGTAGATGGATTCGTGAATGAATGAACAGGTGATGGATGAACAGGAATGGATGGATGGATAGATGTGTGAACAGACAGACAGACATATGAATGGATAACTGGAAAATGACTAGATAGATGATGGAAGAAGGCAGGAGGAATAGAAGTAAGGAAGGAAAGTCATGAGTATAAGAACCCAGGCTTAAGAATGAGTGAAGGGAAGAGTAGACAAAAGTAAAATAGGAGATAGGGTAGGAACCCTCCCCCCCAGCACTCCTTCCTCTCTCTGGGACCACCCTTGGGCCTGACACAAAGTCTGCTGCCCTCAGTGTCTTGGGCATCCCTCAAACACTGATGGCTTAAGATTGACCCTGCCATTCACTTGGGCATTCAGAGTCTCCGCTTTCTGAAGCCTTTAGTTAAACTTCACTTGCCTCATGAAAATGGACAGCTCAACAAGGCAAAAGCTCAACAGAACACATCTGCTAAGGCAAGCAGAATGGCATGCCACCCCCACCATCCCTTCTGTCCACAATCCTACCACTGAGAAACTATCAAGGCCTATCCTCTGCCAAGGCAAGGGCATTCCCAGGTGACAGATGTTCCTTTCCTTTCATGCTCAGTCTGGAGGTGTGGGTGACTAAGGAAAGCAAGAGAAAGCCCCCTTTTAGTCAACAGTGGGCAGTAAGCTGCACACCAATACATGATCAGATTGGACGGCACTAAGAATCAGGGGCTGGGTCTCCACAGGCTCAATCTTAGGGATGAGGATCCAAGGTCTGTTGCCTTGGCCGTGGCTTAACCCATACCTTGCTTGGATTGCAGGTGCAGAGTTCTCCCCAGTGTTGAGTCACATCACACCCACACTTGGTTGCTGCCCCAAACCAAGAAGGTAGCTTGCCACTGTCAAAGTCAAGCAGCTCAAAGCAGTCCCCATACAGAAGGCATCTGGCCAGGGATTCCAGAGCACTGCCCCTCCCTCAGCCTGCCTGCCTAACGGATCCCTGACGGCCCATTGCTCCTACTCCAGGCACCACTAGAGTTCTGTACACAGCAGACGCCCCTGGTATCTGAAGAGCCAATCAGTGAGTCTGCAAAACCACAGGGTGTGTACAGGCATGGGGGCAGTAGCCACCGTGGTTGGAGTGGCTTAGTCCCAATTGCCATGTCAGCTGCTCCTATCCTTGGCCTGGCAGAACCAGCCTGCAGTAGGTCAGCCCAGGGCACTAGGGAGGGCTCAGGGTTGGTGGGCTCCTCCACTCTCAACCATAGGTACTGGCACCTGGGGCCCAGACTGACCCACAGAGACCACTGGAAATGAGACACTGGGGAAACTGGCTTCCTCTCATGATCTCATCCCTACCTTGGGCTTAGCTCAGTATTCGCCAACTTTGAAGTCCCCATCCCCACCCTGGGACCAGCATTACTAGATCTCCAGTCTCTTTGTGGGTGGAGATTCGTCCCCTACTCAACTGGACTGAGCTGCCTCTTGTCTCTGGCCTCACCAGGGTCTCCAGTCCCTCTGCCCTACTCCCCAGAGGAAGCTTCTGCCAGGTTTCCTCTCCCCTTACACAGTCCCAGCCAGGGCAGGTGGGACCCGGTGTGGATTACCTGTCACAGGACCTCAGCAGCCGGCAGCAGTGTCTACCAGTGTCTTCTCTGCTGTCCTGGTGTACCTCAGGCCTGGCACCCTGAGGAGGAGGTAGCTGTTACCCAAAATAAAACCAGCTTTGTCCCTCTGACCTCATGGGAGAGCACCTGCCACAGACTGACTTGCTAAGTGGGCAGCCACTCTCCCCTGCTGGCCAAGCAGGGCCACTGCAGAGCCCGTGGCATGCCCACCTGCAGGTGTGGTCTCTAAAGGTCCCCCACCCTAGCCAGACAAGGTTAGCAGACAAAGGTGTCCCAGGCCAAGCTCCAGCAAGGCCGGCAGGTGGAACCAAGTTCTCCTTACATTCTACTTACATTCTACATGGGCATCTGCAATGGGAAAGGGGTGGAATATATTCAGGCCTCTATTAGCAGACACTAGAGAACCAGACTCGGGGGTGAGGTGGAGATCAGACTCACCATGGGAGAGGATAGGGTCTTTTGAAACTAGCTCAGGACTTCTTCAGAATTCCAGAGCAGACACAGCCAGAGAGCTGGTCAATGGTGGCTAAGGGTCAAGGCTGTGTCTGAGGACATGGACAGGTGGAGAGGGAGGTATAGGTTCTGGGCAGGAGGACAGGGATGACTGCAGCAGCTGGATGCTTGGAGGAGAGGTAGGCAACTGAAGGTGCCCATCTTTCGAGCCAGCAGCCTGGAGCACTCTCTCTCTTTGCCTTGTGCCCAGACACATCACTACCTGTCTCTAGCCTTCAAGGCCTCATCTCAGCATGGAAGGACTGGATGAAATGTTAATCCCAGAAGGTCTGAGACCCAGCTCTAGAGCACAGAGCCAGGTAGAGCTGGAGCTGGTGCATTGTTGGCCTTGAACCAGGTCATCTTGATGCCCCAACCCTAGGACTCAGGAGGACATGATTATTTGTAGCTCCTTGTCTGGGTTGTCTGCATCTCCTGGCACCTCCTCACCCTCCTTGTCCTGGGGACTGGTCAGCTCTGGATTAGGCAGCTTTATGGACCCCACAAGCCTTGCCCAGCCCATGAGATCTACAAGGAGTGTACAACGAGATCAAAGTACTAAAGCTGCTCTCTACCCAATCCCTGCCTCAGTTTCCCTAATCCAGAGGCAGGGTCATCCTGATACATATCTCTCTGGCAAGCATGGGGCCATCAGAGGCCCATGAGAGACATCTGTTGGTTGGATGGTGCCCCCTGGAGTCCTGAGGGAAGAAAGGCCAGCTCTACAAGCACACAACCGGCCACTCAGAGCCCAAACACTGACCTGAGACTTCAAACTTCTGCATCCTCGAACAGGAGCTGAGGGCAGAGACGTGGCCCCTGGCCTTGGGAGGCCACCAACCACTGGGGGAGATGCCAAAAGCAAGAGCCACTGGATTTATGTTCTATTTCTGCAACCTTTTCATCTATGTAGCCCCATGGTCTCACATGGAAAAGCAGGCCCGGTCTCTAATGTCCTCAGAGTGATGGGGCTAGGGACCCAGTACCCTATACTCCTTTGGGGTCTTGGGCTACACCTTTAATGGAGGGGTATGGGGTGGGGCTGGGAAAGGTTCTACATGGAGATCCTTGCCCTGGATGAGGTTTTCACTTCCATAGCATACCTTGGGTAGAGTTGGGGGCTGGGGAACCTATGACTCCAGCCCTGGGGATCCCCACACCAGCCTGGCTTAAGGGCAGTCCTCTTCCCCATCTCAAGGCCATCTACCACCTTTCTTCTCCCCTCTTGAGCCCTTCAAGAACAGGCCTGGCACTGAGTAGTAAAAATAGCAGCTGACACCTTCCTGGGGCAGGCAGGGACCTTGACTCTTCTAGGCACGTCTCCTCCATCCTCGCCTCCTTCAGCCTCCTCCTCTGACCATTCCTATACTTGGTCAGGGGCCTAACTGGGCACACCCTGTCCCCCCACCCCAGCTACCCAGCCACTGGCCAATGGGCTGCTGGGAAAGATCAAATGTCGGTATAACATGAGGGGCTGAGGCCGACCAGGCAGTACGTGCAACTGGTCCTGTCCACAGTGAGCTCCAACCCTTCTCAGACTCAGCAGGTGCGTATGGGGATGAGCCACCCCCAAGGCCTCCTACATCTGAGCTGGGTACTAGGCACCCAAAGGGCACTGTTGGGCTTGGGGGCCAAGTTCCATGGTTGACTGGTTGCCTGACACTTGGATGGGAAGCATGACAATTGGAGAAGCCAGGTGGCCCTGGGACTGGTGAGGGGTTCTGACATCATGTTTTCATGGTCCCCTAGCCTCAGCATAGTGCAGAAGACCTGGTCTAAGCTAGAACACAAGAGTGTGGAGTGGGGAAGGTAGCGGTGTGGGGAGGTCTGGGGTAAGAGTGTGAAACTAGACCACACAACAGGGACTCTGACCAGAGCTTCAAGGGCTACCCAGGGACTGCCTGCTGCAACACAGCTGTTTTGGGCTCATCTGGAACTTGCTTTGCCTCTGACATTGCCCTTTTGTAGGAATGATATTAAGGGGTAGAAAGGATTCCAGAGGGAAAAACATCTAGACCCCAAGCAGGCCTTGGGTAGCTCCTGGGAGAGTAGACAGGGGCTGGGCTGGGGCAGGACAGGGATGAGGGAGTTGTTCCTGCCCAGAAAGGACATGTCCCACCTTGCTTGTGGTTGGAAGGAGCAGGTAGCCTTGAGAGGCCCCTTTAAGTCCCTCATCCACCAGGTCCTGAGTACTGTCTAGAGGTCCTTGGACATCCTGGGAAGAGACAGGGTCATGCAAGAGTAGCCAGAGGGGAATGAGCTGAGGCAAGGCATGGTCAGAGTTCCCCCCAGCAGGAGAGTGGCAGGGCCTCCTGTTCCCTTTGAAGGAGGGAAGGATGGCACATGTCCCCAAGGAACCCAGCCTTGTGGGCTATTTACATGTATTGCCTCTGATGGCATGGCATTAAGAGGACAACTGTTTTCCTTTTCAGCTGTCGAAATGCCATCCTCTGCCCCAGTACCCCCCCAAAGAGATGATAACAGGGACCACACAGAAAGGGAGGGGTGCAAGCCCTGCAGGGACCTCCAAGCACTCTTCAGAAGAGTAGGAGCCTCAGTTTCCCCACCTGGGAAGGAGTCCTTGTTGCCTCACCTTGAAAGGGTGCCTCACCTTGAAAGGGAGGAAGGGCTGGACTGTTCTCCCCCACCCCCATACATCGTCTTGGGTTTCTGGACAGAGGCGTCTTGCTGATTTGGGTGCCTATTTCTGGATATCTCAGCTGCCACAGGATCCTTATAAATAGCCCCTCCCTGGGCATGGGCCACCCTTCCCCCTTGGTGACTGACAGGTGTTGGCCCTACTGGGGTTGGAGTGGCGGCAGGGAGCAGGGTCCTCTGGCCTCACAGCCCTCACTGACTTTCTGGACCTATAGAGTAGTCTGGGAGTGGACATAGGGGTTGGGTTCTGGACCCAGTGAGAGGGCAGATCTCAAGGAACAAGGGTAGCTAGGAGCTGGTATGGACCAGAAGGGCCAGAGGAACCAGATGAGTAGGCAACCTTGGCTGCTGGGCTGGAGTAAGGAGCCACTGCCCAGCTGCAGATATGCTAGAGGCCGTCCACTGATGGACAATGGTGTCCTGGGCAAGGGTGCTGGGGTGAAGCGGGACTCGCCTTGTGCCTGGACACAGGCTTCACAGACATCTAATGGTTAATTTTGCATGGAAAGTAACTTGCTCTTAAAAAAAAAAAAAAAAGGAACATTATGGACAGAGAACTTGGAAATGGCTCCCACCTAAACCCTGAGCAGCAAATGGATTTTTAGCTGATGAATGGGTGTTTTCTTCTATAAGTTCCCTTGGGGGGCCATAACCATTGTCTTCAAGTATGTAATATGTTGCCATGAACTTTGTTTTTTAAACCCGAAGCCAACATTCTGATACAGCTGCTCAGAGAGCTCCCAGGCCCCCACTGCTCTGGGTGTGTATGAGCCAACTCACGGACCACAGTCCCAAACTCCCAGCCCTGAAACTGGCCACACCTGCATAGGTGCGGCCAGTCTCAGGCCTGGTACTTTCCCACAGATGCTGACAAGATCAAGATGGGCCTAGGAAAGCGGTGTCATGTGGCACAAGAGTGCCAGGTTGGAGCACTTGCCAAGGAGCACCTCTGACCATAGTTCTGCTGGGCTCAGAGGCTCAACCTCCATGTCTGGTGGGGAAGAGGGAGTCAGGTAGACGGACCACTCACATGCTCTGTGGTTTGGAGGAGGCATCCTCAGAGGGTTGTAAGGAACACAAAAGAGGCTCTCGGGTATCCTCGGGGAGCCTGGCTGTGGAAGCCATGGGGCATTGAAGGGCGCTTTGGGTTCACACCAAGAAAGTAGTTAGTGGCAGGTAGACCTGAAAAGGTCTGTTCCGCCCATTTTAAGGAGCTGGCTTCGGTCATCCTGGCCCCCTAAGAAGCCCATGCAACCTAATCAGAGGCTACCAAGAGACAGGCTGTATCTCAGACTCGCCAGTCTTCCTAGCATGCAGAAGGGTCTGCAGAGTCCTCTCTGCCGGGGACAACACCGCACAAGAGCCCTCCTTGCGAATGCTATAGGGAGAGTGTCTACCTAGCAGGGATTCTGACCTTCAGCCTGAAGCCCTGGAGGAAAGGAGAAGGATCAGAGTTTTGGGGAAGAAGGCTGGATTAGAGCTGATGAGGGGCCCTGTGGGCAGGATGCCAAGAACTGAGGGTTGAGCAAGTCCTGTCTGTGATGTCCCCTCTCGGCCCCAGCTCTGAGCCATCTTTCCTTTCCAAACACCGAGTCACCGCTCCTCCTTTTTCTCCCCAGAAATAATCTACCCTCACCATGTCTGACGAGGAAGTGTGAGTATCACTGCCTGGGAGCTGCCCCGGACCCTGTCCTGTGTGCAGAGTCAGGGCTGCTGGGGCTGCTGGGAGCTGTGCAGCCCAGCAGGCAGAAGCCACCTCACTCCTCTCTCTCTTTCTCTCTCTCCCCCTCCACATGCCCCTGCAGTGAACAGGTTGAGGGTGAGTGTCACAGCTATTTTCTTTCTCTCTACTTCTACCTCTAGTCAGAAAAATTACCCTGGGGGGAGGGGGAGTTGAAGGGAGAGTGTGTATCTGTTTAGAGCCCCTGGTCTGCACATTCCAAGTTGGCCACCTCTGAGGGTGGGTGTTGGGACAACCCCTTTGGAAATGGTCCGACCTCTCCTCTGAGAAGTGATTACATCTCAACCCACTCAGCCTGCAGACCTGCTGGAGCCAGCTGACCCTTAGGGCCTTGGGGTCTGTTGGTCATGGTAGGGTGCAGACACGGTCCTCATGGCCTCTTCCTTCAGCACAGCCCTCTTTGGGCCCAAGGAGTCCCAGGCCCCATCCCTGGCCAGCAGAAAAGGCTGGACTGTCCAGGGGTGGAATGGGCTGGCCCTCCCACTTTCACCTTCTCCAACAACCCCTGCTAACATGGCCCCTCTCTTTTGTTCTATTCCAATGCAGAGGAGTACGAGGAGGAAGGTAACTGTGGTGGCCCTGGAGGCCCCTCAGCCCCCAGATCCTTTCTTTATGGAGCTCCTTCCTGCTTGGTGAAGGCCCTGCCCATCCAACCCTCCCTATCCTCTTATAGCTCATCAATTAACTGTCCATCTTCTTCATCATTAATTCAATATTAACTATCATCATTAATCATTTCTTAGTGATTAAGGATGCAATCATTTAATTAATGGTCAATAACTTGATCAATAATTAAATCATCATTAGCCTTCAATGATGATCGATCTCTTCAGTTGTTAATGGATACTTATTAATCATTCATGAATGCCTTGTGTGGTGGTCACATCCCCAGTGTGTAGAGTGGGTTGGGATCTGGTCATTAAAATGCATTCATTAACCTCCAGGGCCTCAACATACACTGCTGCTGCTCTTTGTCTCACCGTTCGTCTCTCTTGGTGTCACTCTGCATGTCTCTGTGTCTCTCTAAGCATCTCATCAGTATCTCTGTATCACTCAGCACCTCGTTCCTCTGGCTTTGGCTATTTCTCAGTATCCCTCCCTCAGTATCCCTCAGTATCCTCCGACCCTGTCTCTGTATTTCTGTCTCTGTCTCTCCCAGTGTCTCCCCACACCCCCCACCACCACTACCCTCAGGCACATGGCAGGACCCTCCCTGGCTGTCGTGCCTGGGCAGGTGTGGCGGCAGAGTGCTGGAAGGGGGCACACCTGGGAGCAGTGGGCGTGGCAGTTCCCAGACCCAAAGGGTGCCGCTCAAGCCCCTGGCAGCCACTCAGCCTCCACAGGCTGGTTGTCCTTGCAAGGGCTGCTGGGTGCTGTGTTTTGAAAATATTTTGCAAACACTTGCTACCTTAACGACGTGAGCAGAACACTTCTTTTTTTCTGCAGAAAGGTAGAAAGGTTTCTTTTTGAGCAAGAAATGTGACCCTGGGAGCCACCTTTTCCCTGGGGATGGTTATGGGAGAGTCTCCTGAGAATGTTTCCTGCAAGACCCACGTACTGGCCCACTTTGCTCCCAGGGACTTTCCTGGGATCAGAAATGAGTGAAGCACAGAGGGTCTTCTCATTACACGTGGTTTTTGTTCCTGAGCCTCATTCCCATGCCCCGCAGAGCAAGATGTAGCTTGACTTCTTATTCACAAGCATTAACCATACAAGATCAGGCCCAAGACAGCTGAGGCCCAGGCCCAAGGCAGAGGAGCCAGAGGAGGCAGAAGAGGCAGAGGAGGCCCAGGCAGCTGTGGGGCCTCAGGATAGTGAACACTCAGGGAATCCTGCTCACCATGACCAACTGCTAAGGCCAGAAATGTAGGACTGCGCACTCTTACCCTGATCTATCAGGAGACCCTTCTACCCTCTTCTCCTGTGGGCCAGACACTTAACCTCAATCCCAGCATGCCCCTCTAATGACTGTCTTATTTCTTCTCTCTCTCTCCTCCGATCCTCCTCTTGCTTCTGGCTTCCCCCATCCTCAGAAGAGGCCCAGGAGGAAGGTAAGTAGGGTGCAGGACCCCAAGCCCACACCCACCTCTGTGTTTTCCTGACCCTACCCAGCCCTCACCTCACAGCCACCCTGGCGCGTCCGGGTTGTGACCCTGGCTCCCGCCTCTAAGGATGTGTGTCTGCCTCCATCTAATCCTGTCCTCTCTCCTCCCTGGCACTCTGTACTCCCTGGCACGCCTCACCGCAGAAGTCCATGAGGAAGGTATGAAGACCCAGGACTTCTGGTCCTCATGTGGAGCCCGGGGCCTGGCTGGAGCCCTCATGGGCTGGGGAGAGGGTTGGGAGGCAGTGAGGCACCAGCCAGCCAAGGGGCCCCACATGTGGCCAAACATAACCCACTAACCATGTCCTGTGCTTGAAGGTGTGGGACCCTGAGAGACACAACAGGCAGCACCACTGGGGTCCCCAGTCCTTGTTGTTTGGGGCCATATGCTCTCCCAGATGGAGGGAGTTAGCCTGGGATGGGGAGGGCAGCCTGGCTCAGAGCCATGGGAAAGACTAGGCCTGTAACTGCCAGACCTTCCTTCCTGGGGAGTAACTAAGAACTCCTGGCAATGATGGGGTGGCATGAGACTTCCAGACCTGGCTAGATCCCAGCACAAACTCAGGACACTGGGGACAGAGGCAGGTGAAAACAGAGGCCTAGTAGCTCAGTTTGTGTAAAAAGAGGCCTTTGTGCCTAGCTATTGGAGTGATGAGAAACAGGGTCCTGGCAGGCTTCTCACACCCCTTCTGGCCCCAATTCTGGGCTCTGAGCCTGTCCTGCAGCACTAGAGGGGCTTCTCTGGCCCACATAGGAAGTGGGTGAGAAGCAAAGGAAGGACAGCCCATCCTGGGACCTGCACAGCCAAGAAGTGGCCAGGACAAAGCAAGAGCCAGCACCACAATCTGCCCCCTGCCTTAGTTTCTCTATTTGTGAGGATGGGTACTGGGGTGGGCTCAGGCCTCCTCAGGGCTTGTTGTACCCAGATTTTGAGAATGGGTTACACGAGATGTGGGAATGGGGGCTGGGGTTCAGCGCCAGGCTAACTCTGACGGTATCTTGCTCGCTTCCCGCATGTGCCCACCCCCTCGGCCTGAGTGGCGACGGGCTGTTTCCGTTTAACCTTGGATCCCTCTCCTTTGACCTCTGACCCGCGGTTATGCCTCTTGTTCCGTGGCCCTCCTTAGCTCCTGAAGCTCATGAGCCCCCCCCAGGTATGTGACATGACTTCCGCGCCATGTGGCACATGTGGTCGTGTGCGGGTGCGTGGAGGAGCCACGTGGAGAAGGAACAAGAGGGGCCGTGTAACCTGCTCGCCTCTGGCCTGCTCTTCCTGCCTCCTCTCCCCCCTCCCCCACCCCTTTATTCCCTGCCCTCACTCATGGGTCCTTCTCTCTCCCTCCCTCCCTCCCCCACGGTGCTGCTTACAGAGGAAGTCCAGGAAGGTAAGCTATGGAGCTGCCCCCTCCCTCCCTGTGTCCTCTTTTCCTCTTGCCACCCCTCCAGACATTCCCCACCATAGACAAGACCCATCTGACCTCTGGACTGGGGATAGAGTTGAGTGAGATCAGCATGGGGGACTGGCTCAGGTGAACCTCATTGACCCTGGTGGCCCTGGTGGAGGGGTCAGGGATGTCGCAGCCCTTCCTGGCCACCAATATGAAGGTGGAAAGTGTGAGGTGGCAGACTCGAGGCTAAGGGAAGAGCAGGCTTTCAGGGGATGTGTCTGGGCTGGGGATATATCTCAGTGACACAGTACCTGCCTGGGAGTACAAGGTCCTGAGTTCGATTACTGGTACCAAAAAAAAAAAGTATGGTTCTGGGGTCCACTGGGGTCCTCTAGATCTATCAGATTAGGTGAAGAAGAGTAGAGGAGTGGCAGGGTGAGTAGCCTCAGAGGAGGGGGAAGTAAGAAGTGAGGCTGAGGGAGGGTAGAGGGACAAGTCGGGTGAAGCAGAAAGTCGGCTGAGGCTCAAGATAGGGATGTCAGGGACCCAGAACACCCGGGAGCCATGCGTGCAAATGAGCAATCAGTCAGGTCTCAGCATCCCACCCATTGCCTGGGCCCGAGCCAGACACACCCCACACCAGCACAGGCTGGCCGCACCAGGTGGAGGGAGGGAGTTACAGATCTGAGCCAGCCCCCCACCCCCATTCATATGCTGCCTCCATGGAGCTGAACTATCACACCAGCTGGGCCTGAGCCTTCATAAAACTCTTCCTTGGCCTCAGAAAGGCCAGGGGGACAAGGATACCCCAGAAAAGGGATGGTGGTAGTGGTGTCTCCAGCCACACAGGATGATGGTGCCCAGCCTGTATGTGCTACAAGGTTATCAGGTCACCCTGAGACCTGCACTGAGGCTGAAGGATGGATGGACAGATGGATACACGAGTAGGATGGAATGCGGGAGGAGTAGGGGAAGCTTTGCTGCTTGGGCTTCAGCTGTGGCCTTGTTTCCTGCAGTTCCCGGCTCCCTCAGACCCCCAGCCCCAGGATCCCAGGGCTGCAGCCCAGCCTCACTAGGAGAGATGTGGGATCCTGTGGCCTCACCCATGCAGCCACCTCTGCATTTCATGCTCCACTCTGCCTTGAAGCTCCCCTTGTGTCCCCCAAGCCCCATTCTCCCAGGTGCTAGGAGAGGGAAGAATCGGCCTCACATGCAGAATTGCACGACTGTTCTGCTGTGTGCCAGGTTCCTAAGCAACCATATGAGATAGGACCTGGGGAGCATGTGCCCCTGGCAGACCCCCACCCTGACTCTGACCCTTGGCAGGGCCTGCTGACTGTTCACCGTGTGTGGAGGAAAGAGCTGGTGTCAAAGGCCCAACAGAGGCAAGGCCAAGGACATGGCATGCAAATGGCCTTGTCATCACCACCCAAAGCTCAGAGCAGGACCAGAGGACAGTGTAGCTCACAGTCACAGGCCATCTGGAGACACTAGTTTCAGCCAGGCCCAGCCAGAATGTCTCCACCCTGAGCTTGGTGGGCATCCTCAAGAAAGCAGCCTCCAGGAGAAGGTGGCTGGAGGCTCTGGCCTGAAACCCGGTCCACTTGCCCAAGTCTGGCCTCAGAGATGGCTGAGGAAGAGGTAGCAGGAACTGTCCCAAAAAGGCCCATCATAGGCTCAAGAGGAGATGACTCTTAGGGTCAAAGGGAAGCCTTCTGTCCTCAAGGTGAGCAAACCAGAGCCCATGGCCACTGACAGGGCTCTTTGCACTGAAACTAGTTGAGACCTGCACAGAAGCATGGTGCCAGGGGACTAGGACATAGCATCTTGTGACCCAGTAAGGCTGATCGTGCAGATAGAAGTGAGTAGGGCCACAGCAAATGTCCTGGACAAAGGCCACATCCAGGCCAACTCCAAGTAGTCCCATGTCAGGGGTTCCACTCATGGTCCAGACCTTCCCAGCTCCTTCCACCTTGTACTCAGACAGTAATCCTGTGGGGGGGCATGGGTGCTGCCCCAGGCCTGTGCCTGCTGCTACTATTAGCATGGCCACTATGCACGCGGCTTTTCTCTTGCATGTGTGCTTTGTGCCCGTGGCACGAAGACACCGCTGATGAGGAGCGGGAGGAGGATGAGGAAGGTAAGGGCTGCCTGCTTTGTCCACACAGGACCCCGGTTCTGAGCAGTGTCTGTTACAGCTCTCCATTCCCCTCTCTCCGTCTGTCCATCTGTCCCTATGTCCTCCTCTTCCTGGCTCAGAGCCTCCATGCAGGACTTGTTGCTTCACATGGCAGCTGCTATAGGGTTGGATGCCACAATGGGCAGCCAGCAGGGACAAGCCAGCAGACCAGCAGTCCCAGAAGGCCCTAGACTCCTTCCTCCAGTCCTCCTCCATTCCAGACCTCTGAAGACCTGTGCTTGCTGCCATTTCTTCCTTCTTCTCCTCACCCCACACTCTGAGCCCTTCTTAGAGCTCCTGAAGGCTTTCACAGCCTGGAATGGAGACAAAACCTTCTGCTTCTAATGGGGTGGGTGGGCTGCAGGATCAGGGCTCACCTGGAAAGGTAGGCAGCCCTAGAGGCCAGAGCCCATCAAGCTCCTAGCTCAGTGGTCCCCATCAGCAGGTCGAAGGTGCCTGTCTCACCAGGTCTTTCTCCCTTCTCTCCATGCTGATGTTGCGGTGACCAGAAGAGAAGCCAAGACCCAAGTGAGTGTGGGATCTGGGAAAGGCTGGGGTGGACATGCCACGAGATGGCAGGTGTAGGAAGCTGGGGCCCATGCTTAGGGTAAAAGTCTAATGTGAAGGGAAGATGAGGCCCAAGATCACCTAGGAAACAGAAGGAGAACTGTAGGGTATGACTCTGTCCTGTTCATCTAAGGCAGGCAAGGAGGTCTGCGTGGAGGAGGTGTCCACACTGAGGAAAGAAAGGCACTGGGAGAGTTGGAGAAGAGGAGTGAGGCTCGAGGCTCAGGGCAATGGCGTCTCAAGTGCCTTTTCAGGCCTCTCTGTGCCTGACAGTTTGGGGGTAGAGGTGAGAGGAGAGAGGTGGGTCTTGTCCAGAATCCCACTTCAGATGGGCTATGTCCAAATCAGCTCTCTGCAGGGGCCACTGAACCCTCTGGAGAATGGTTCTTTTGGGGGAGGGTCTTGGCCTCATTTCACTGCTTGTGAGTGTTTCAGAGATGTCTTAAACTCCAATTTTTCTGACTTTCCTGGCTGTGGTTGTGCTCATAAGCCCACAGCCCTCTCTGTGACTCCCTACTCCTGAGCCTTTTGGGTACGGGTTTTGCTGTTTTGTGTTCTACATGAGGTGAGATTTCAGGGCACATTAGCATGAGCTCCATGTCTGCTCCCACTTCAGGAGAGACAGTGGAGTCTCTGAAGCAGGGGAAGATAGGCATAGCCAGCAGATTCTCATGCCTCACACTTTATTTTTCAGCAAGTTAAAATAAAGTAATGCTGGATCACGAGACATTTTCCTATTTCAGAAAAATTGTTTGTGTTTTCACTATGAAAATAAAACACCTCATTAAAGAAAATTCGGAAAATACGTAAAAGTCAAACGCAGAAAAAAATCATCTATAATTCTCCCACCTACCCATCCACCCACCAGCAGTCCAGCCAGCCAGACTATGGAAACGAGCAGAAAGAAATAAAAATCCTTATTTCTTCCTACTCTTTTTCCATGCGAAGGGCTTGGAAAAAAAGATCTCAACTCTGCTGTTTTTCAAACATCGGTCTGTCTATACAGCCTTGAATTCTGCTTTTTTAAAATTTAGCACTATTCATAAGTATTTTTCCATGTTTTTACATAGTCTTCTCAAATATTTTGAATGGCCACATAATATTCCATCAATTGGACAAACCATAATTTTGCTAACCATTCCTCTATTGCAGGCTTCCCCCAATATTTTACTATCATAAATAACACCGAGTGGAAAGCATTTTCCATCTTCAGGGCTATTTCCCTAGGCCACATTCCCAGAACTGGAATTACTGGGTCAAAGAGTATGAACGTTCTTAAGACTTTGACATTCTTTGCCAAATTGCTTTCCACAAGAGCCTGGCCAAGGCAGCCTCCGACGTGTGCTGTGAGCAGTCTGTGTCCCACGCCCGCCTCACCCAAAGTCAGAAACGTGCCTCTGCACCTCAGCCATTGACAGATGGCAAACAGCATCTCACGGCTGTTTTCCTTTACATTCCTCTGATCGTACGTGGGCCAACTGTTCCCTGAACGTTTGTTAACTGGTTGTCTTTCTTTCTTGAGAATTGGTACCTTATGTCCTTCGCCCATTTATCTCACAGTGGACGTGTCTTGATGTTTTCTTAATGATTAGTTTGCATAAGGATATAAGTCTTCTGTGTATTTGCTGAAAATATTTTTTTTGGGGTCTGGATTTTTTCCCTCAGCCTTGCAATTTTTTCCTCGTTTCACATACATAAGTTTTTCATTTGCACGGAGTCATCAGCACATCTTTTCCTTGGAGGGAACTTCTGGTGTTTCTGAGCCTAAAGAATCTTTCCCGCTCTGGTTTTTGATCGATACTCGGCTCCACTTTCTGCTGTGGCTTGTTTTAAAAAGCCCTTGTTGTCTTAACCCTCTGCTCCATCTGGAACACGTTGGTAGGAGAAGGGGGGTGCTGGGCCAGAGGACTGGGGGCTCCTTTTCTCTTCAAAGTGCCTCTTTCTCCTTTCGTTGGGCCCCCTGGAAAGATTATAGAGTATCCAGAGAAAAAAGGTCACAACGGCCAGTCCTGAGCACATAGACCGTTGTCCATTGGCTGTCCCCAAGGGCATGTGGCAATTATCTGACATTTGGTGGGGCCTGGCTACATGTTTTCTCCCTTGAGCAAGAAACTAGGCACCTCTCCTAAAAAGATAGAGTGAAAAATAATTTAGTACCAAGGTTAGGTAGGATCACCAACTTGCTGGTGAAAGATCCAGCAAAACAAAGGGGACAGGAAGAGGTTGGAAATAGCTCTGAAGGGTGAGCTCACTCTTAGGATATAGATAATGAACTTAATAAGAATAAAATTCAGGCAAAAGTGGCATTAGACAAGGTACCCTCAGCCAGGTGTAAGGGTTTGAAGGTGTTAGGGACAGACTGGGGCCAGGTCACCCCAGTGCAACTCAACCCCCGAGGTAGGGTCTTGATTGTCTGTGTGCTCATGAACCAGTCTCTCTCTCTCTCTCTCTTTTCAGACTCACTGCTCCTAAGATCCCAGAAGGGGAGAAAGTAGATTTTGATGTAAGTTTATGGGAATCAGATCAACATCCCTCAACCCCCACCTCCTACTTCAAGCCTCATATCAGACCTCCAGGTATAATCTTTCTAGCACCAGGAGAGAAACTATTCCTCTCTAACTCATTTCTGGGTCAGAGAAAATTCCTCCAATAAACATCTTCCCCTTTCCTCTGTCCATCCTTCCATCCATCAATCATCCATATACCCAACCTTCCATCTATCCGCCTCCCATTAATCTCCACAACTCATTCATCTGCTCATCCTACCTTCCATGTAGTTATTCACCCACCGATCCCCCATTCATCATCCATCCACTCAATCTGTCTCTTTATCTATCCATGATTCATCTACCCATTTATTAGTTATGCAACAAATGTATTTCACTCACCAGTCTCCTCTCAGTCAAGCCCATGTAAAGCATCTCTGAGGAAGAGCCAGTCCATCCCAGGGCAGCTGCTAGCCTCACAACTTGGTAGGGCCTGGACCAGGAGAAGGGCACCATCCCTGCTCTGGGGTTTGGGGATTAGGCTGCCTGGGACCCTAGGAGGGCAACAGCTCAGGGACAGTAGCTGTCCTGGTGGCCAAGGAGGTGAGGCTTCTTTAGGGGGTATCAAGCAAGACCCAGGCTAGAGAGGATGGGTATAGACAAATGGCCTCTCCTACCCCAGGACATCCAGAAGAAGCGCCAGAACAAGGACCTCATGGAGCTGCAGGCTCTCATTGATAGCCACTTTGAAGCCCGCAAGAAGGAGGAGGAAGAGCTGGTAGCACTCAAGGAGAGAATTGTGAGTGTGGCCACCTGGGTGGAGGCCACTGGGCATGCTAGAGGGCTGGGCTGACCTGCTTCTTGGCCACAGGAAAAGCGCCGTGCTGAGAGGGCTGAGCAGCAGAGGATCCGCGCTGAAAAGGAGCGTGAGCGCCAGAACAGACTGGCGGTAAGGACAATGCTAGTCCAGCCACCTTGCCCATGAACCCAAAGGAATTTAAGCGGCTTGGGCTTCACTCTCCCAGGGCTCCCACTGCATGGATTCAGGATCAGAGCTACTGGTTGAAGTCCCTTGCTCTGCAGAAATGCTACAAGAGGGTAGATCCTGACCACTGGAGCTTCCTTCCAGAAGGTTCTTGGCCTGGGCATGTCTTTGAAGTATGTTGAGAGAAAGCATCCCTGGCTCTGGCCCTGAGAATCTTGGGAATGGGATCTCCACAGGAGGAAAAGGCTCGGAGAGAGGAGGAGGATGCCAAGAGGAGAGCCGAGGATGACCTGAAGAAGAAGAAGGCCCTGTCCTCCATGGGAGCCAACTACAGCAGCTATCTGGCCAAGGTGAGGCTGGTGCCTAGAGCCCAGGGAGTGGCCGTTGGTCTGTGTTAGTATATGCCACTTCTGAAAACAGGCCCCTCCCTTTTGTCTGTCCCCTTCAGGCTGATCAGAAGAGAGGCAAGAAGCAGACAGCCCGGGAGATGAAGAAGAAGATCCTTGCAGAGAGACGCAAGCCACTTAACATTGACCACCTCAGTGACGACAAGCTGAGGTGAGGGGCTGGTGCTGGGGGTTAGGCCACTGAAGCCAAAGTGTCTCTCTGTGGTAGCTAAAGAAGTGCAGGGTTTGGGATGCCTTTTGGGTTTAGCCTTCCCAGCCTCACTCTGCCCTCCAGGGATAAGGCCAAGGAGCTCTGGGACACCCTCTATCAACTCGAGACTGACAAGTTCGAATTTGGGGAGAAGCTGAAACGGCAGAAATATGACGTGAGTCCAGTCATCCAGCCCATGGGTGGGCCCCCCCCATCCCAGGTCTCATCTGCCAGCGTGAGCAGCCACTTTGTCACCCCCCTCCCTCATTATCCTCTATGCCTGCTCCCTGTCCCAAGGCCTGAGTCAAAGGAACCCAGGCAAGTTGTCGCCATGGAGCTTGACAAGGGACCACTCCTCAAGGCTGTCTTCTGAGACAGCTCTCAGTCCCCACCCTATACCCTTGGCCATCAACACGAGCCCTGTGGTTGTCACCATGGTCAACCCTGTGGTTAGGGCCTTCACAAACTGTGGCCACCACAGCAGCCCCCAGGATGTCTGTTTCCTCACAGCAGCTAGATGAAGAGATGACACACATCTCCCCTTGCAGCTGGGAAAGGAGGCTGGGGCTGGCAGCTGGAGGTGCTGAGGGAGCTCACACATGGGCAATCGTCCAGTGTAGATGCCAGCACTGAGCACCAAGCTGGAGGTCAGAGGGATCCTGTCCGTGGTATGCTATAGAATCAGGCGAGGGGCACCAGAGGCTAGGATTCAGGCCTAACGCTTTCCCATCTATGGAAGCTTGAAGATGTAGGGAGAGATGCCAGGCCTGGGAGAATGAAGGTGCTCAATGCAAATGCATGACCCTGAGCTTCGCCATCAGGGCTGGGCTGCCCTCCCCTTACCCTAAAGTATCCTGGGGAGGGCAGGTTTTGCCCACAGGACATGGGTAGGGGCACTTCCCAAGGCCACCAAGACACAATTGCAAGTTCTGGCATCTTCTTGGAGCCCTGAGTAGGCTGTCAACCTATCACTCAGTGACCTCCCCTCGAACAGAGCAAGACAGTGTGCCCCTTCCAGAGCAATCCCCATGAGGAGACAGATATCCTTCCCTTGAGGCTACCCTGGTGCTGGCCCAAGATCCTCTGGCATCTGTAGCTGAGTCAGGAACTCTGAAATATTGGGTCCCCAGAGGCTCAGAGACCCTCAAGGGCCATTTCCAGGCTCACTGACACATGGCAGCCCCTGAAACCTTAGCTTCCCTCCCAGCCCCATAACCATCTCGGTCTTTCTAGATCATGACTGTCCGGGCCAGGGTGGAGATGCTGGCCAAGTTGTGAGTAGCCAGAGTGTACCACGGGCCAGGCTCGTGGGTGTGCAATGCACGGTGTGCCTGTCGCATGGCACAGATCTGGGTCACTTGCAAGGATGCTGGCAGCCAGGATGGGGTTCATATGGTCTTTCCCCTTCTTTGCTGCCCTGGCTCCTCCCTCCTGCAACCCTCAGTGGCTTTGAGGTTGGCCTGCTGCCTTCATTGGCTGGCAGAACAAGGCCTCACCTTCCCAGGAGATTCTCCTGGCACCAGAGCATTTCAGCCACAAGTCAGGAGCAGGAGTGGGGACATGGGAACAGGAGGGTCAGGGGTCAAGGCTTGGAAGAAGGGTTTTCAGGCCTTACCTCCACCCCACTCCACGAGGGTCCCACAGCCTGCTGCAGTGGAAAGGTAAGTGGTCGGTTCCAAAGCTGCTGTGTGTGGTAGCCTAGGCCATGCAGGCCAACAAGAGTAAGTCCAGACATGAACAGGTCAAAGGACCATGTCCACTAAGGAAGCCAGTGGCCCTGATGTTGCTACAGAAAGCTGTGACACCTCGGTGGTGATTCCAGTCTGTCCTGCACTATGGTGAAGACGGGCATTTGCCCACCATGCCTGGCCTGGACCTCCTGGGCCCCTGTCACAGTAAGTTGCCTGTGTTGTTCACAGATCACAACGCTCAGAAGCCGCATCGACCAAGCCCAGAAGCAGTGAGTAGCCTGGCCCACCTCCGTCTGCGCTGGGCACAGGGTCCCATAGGGCTAGCTGCCACATGCCTCTCCCAGGGCCTGGTCATTTTAGCCCTGATAAGGGTCAGTGGCAGCCAGCCCTCAGCAGAGCAGTAACAAGACTAACATGGCCAGACCCCTTGTCCAGCATGTCCAGGCCCTGTGCCTGGGATCTGAGTATCTTCTCTCACCTGCACACAAGAGGGGCCACATGAGGCTCCTCCCATGTCTGAGTAAACCAGCAGGGATGAGGCAGCCAGGAGGCTCCCAGAGTGTAATGACTCTAAGTGGCCTTTGAGTGGCCTGGCATAGCCTGCCTGGACATCCCACAGCGCTTAGCCCTCAGAGGTGAACTTCGATTGTGATAGGGAATTCAGAGGCCAGGCTCTGCCACCATCTCTGTGATCACTGACTCCTCAGGAAGGTGACCTTTCCATCCATGAAATTATGCCCCATTGGGCACAGGGACTCATTACAGAAGCTGTACTCCACCTTCTGGGCCTGTTCTCAGCACACTGATGATGTACTATACTGAGGGCCTTGCCACTGAACCTGGCCAGGCACTGTCACATCCATGCATTATAGTGTCCTAGGAGTATTTGGAGTCCCCATTTCCTGGGCTCCTTTTCTTCCTTCCTTGGCCTCCTTTCTGCTGGCAGAGATGGGCCTGTTTTCCAGGGAAGGGGCTGGTGAAAGAAACTTCGCAGCCTCCTAGTCTGTTGTGCAGGTCAAGGATACGTGCGTGCAAGTGTGTGTGCCTGTGCACGCATGTAAGAGTGTGACGGCATGGCTGTTATACTAGAGGTCCCACTGCAGCAGCTCTTGAGGGTTCAGTACTCTTGTCCTCCCACCTGCCTTGGCCCTCACCTTGTCTCCAGGCCCTATGAGTGTATTGGCATACAGAAGGCCTTAGATAGAACAGCCTGAAGACGGCCACCTTGGCTGTCATCTAGAGGGCACAGACTTTTCAGGGAAAACAGTAGTCATCTGCTAGATAGTCTCCAGGCTGGGGTCTGTCTGCAGCAGCCGCCCCCCACCCCCAGGCAGGGCAAGGACAGAGTGCTGGGCCCTGGCTTGCACACCAACCCTGACCTAACCAAACTAAGTCCCAGGCCTGGCCCGGTCAGGTGCAGGTGAGTCAGTGCTGCTTGAATTGCAGCAAGCTGTGTGTGCTAGGGTCTTGTTCTGACAGCCACCTGTGGAGGCCAGGGCTGAAATTCTGCCTTGGAGTTAGGGACTGGGGAGGGGCTCGCTTTGCAGGGTTTTTCCTCTCTGCAGGGCTTAGCTAGACTCTCTGACCCTGAAGAACAACTTGTTTCCCATTTGCAGCAGCAAGAAGGCTGGCACTCCGGCCAAGGGCAAAGTCGGTGGGCGCTGGAAGTAAAGAAGCCCAGAGGCCCCCTGTGGCAGAGACCCCCTGCCTTGGCTCACTCTTGGCCCTGGGGCTTGTTACTATAAGACGGCGTCTTCTAGTCCTGACACCCATGCTACTTCTGGAGTTCCAGGATGATCCTGGGGGTGGAATGGCCATCTCAAAACACCCCCCATGTCTCTGCCCTCATTGTACTTGCCCCCTGGGGTCTGTGAATAAAGCAACAGGCCTCCCTCCACCAAGTGGACTGTTGTACACAGGGGCTGGGGAGGGTGGAATGTGGACTGACACAAGTTCCAGAAAGCACATTTATTCATGTGGACACCCTGACACACATACCTAGAAGAGGGTGACCCCCACCTTGTGTGAGCCTCCCAGCACACAACATACTAACTCTTATGTATAGGTTATTAAAGAAAAAAATTATTCAGTGACATATGTCAAAGCCCAATAAGGGAGACTTTCTTCAGGACCATACGTCCAGGGATGCCTGCACCAGGGTCTTCCAGTCGGGAAAGAGATTGGGCTCAACTCCAAATACAGTGTGAGCTTCAGAACCCAGGAGCTGTGGGTGGATTCAGAGTTGAGGTGGCAGTAGGCTGCCTGTAGGCCCAAACGTCTGGTGGGTGTTCAAGGACCAGCTCCGGAGAGCACAGGGTGCGTTCTATCCTCTTCCAGTGGCTGTGGTCTGACTGTGCACAGGCCAGGGGCCCAGACACATCTCTAAGATACTGCCAGTGCTCCCTGTCTCAGGGACTCTTCCCCACTAGACCCCCCTGTCCCTTGCCCTAGAGCTTTCCAAGTCAGATGGGGGCTTCATCCACCCTGAGAAGGTTTGTCCTGTGACCCTGCTCTAAAACTCGTTTGGGGCAGGGGAGTTTTTCCTTGGAAAGGTCAGGGAGCGGAGGCCCAGCCTCCTGGGAGACTTTGCAGACTTGGACCTCAGAGGGTGGGGCAGCCTGGAAGCCCACTCACAAGGGCGCACCGGGCTCCTCTCCCTGGCTCAGCACATCAAGGGGCCGGAGGGAAGCAAAAAAGCACGTTTCCAGCAAGAAAGCAAATATGGCAAACACAGAGTGTTTTTCTATATTATAAGGGAACACAGTGCACAACTGTGTAATAAATTTGAAAGTCCTGACCAAATAGAATTATGGAAAATATAAATCACAGAAATTGGATCAAGACGCAGGGCCCTACAGCAAGGCATTCATACAGGAAGGTGTTTGTCCAGAACTGCTTCTCCAGGAAGGCCTGGGGCGGTGGTGGTCTGTGTCTGCCTGTGGGGACAGGGAGGGAGGCCCCTTTGGGCTGCAACTGTGCTGGCGCCAGGACCTTGAGGTCAAGATAGAAGTTCCAGATAGCACATGTATTCATGTGGGCGCCCTTACACACATAACTAGAGGAGGGGGTAGCCCCCTCCTTTGAGTAAGCGCCCTAGCACACAATGCACCAACCCATATGTGTAGATTATTACAGAAAAAAAAAATTATTCAGGGACACATGTGAAAGCCCAGCAAGGAAAACTTTCTGCAGGACCACCACCATAGGTCTGGGAACCCCTGCACCAGTGGCTTGCAGTGGGGGAAGATTGGGCTCAACTCCAAATACAATGTGGGAAAGTTGGATTTAGAGCCCAGGAGCAGTAGGTGGAAAATACTAAAAAAGAGACATCGGGGTAGAGAATGATACTGTAAGCTCACAGGATTCTCATCGAAGGACAGATCAAGTTTTGCTTGAGGGTGACAGGAGAAGAAAAATCTGGCCAAACATGAGGCTGGTCAGGTATCAGGCAGAGGGTTCTAGTTAACTTGACTTAACAAGACTCTTTGCTAAAACAGAGTTGTACAAGGCAGAGGATAGAGGATCCAGAGTTAGGAGCAGGACTGAAGTGTGGCCGGCAGAGACTCTTAGGCACTCTGACACACACACATACATATACACACGTCCACATCTCCTCACAAGCACAGCTTCTTACACAAATGGGTACACTCTAGCACACATCTATAAACACACCCCAGGCCCTCACACCTAGCCTCTTGTACACACAATTCACATGTGCCCTTATACCCTCCAAGAGACCTGTGTGGCACAGGTTTGAATATGTGATATGGGACCAAGCACACTTTATTTCAGTAATGCAAAGATAAACTGCATATGTATTATACACATTTTCCTACTATAGTAAGTGGTAGAATGTCTGTCCATGTCACCAATCTGTCTCCTTGCCTTGTTCTGAAAGGCAACAGCCAATACAGAAATGACAGGAGGCAAACTTCTATGCTGGGGACAGACAAGAGGATCCATGCTCCAGGTATCTATAAAGGACTTCAATTCAAAAGGCAAATGGTGACATCACAGGAAAAATGTGCAGATTTCAGCTCTGCATGCACATCTCACAGCAAGTGACAGACCAAGAGTATAAAAGCAAGGCAGTAGTACGTGCGCAACTTGAAAAAAACAACTGATGGAAAGGACATGGCTGGAATGCTGTTCCCCCAGGCCAGGAATGCGTGTGAATGCTGGCAAAGCTGACCTTAGATAGGACGCAAAGCAAATTCCAACAAAGTCCCAACAACAGGAATGTCCCAGCCAAGCCCGAAGCCAATAGAAGTTGACTCTTCTGGCATGTATTTAGAATTGTAAAAACACAGCTGAATGTTCTGGATGGGAGAGGAAGTCATAGAGGAAGGCAGGAAGCACTTAGGGCCCAAGGAGAATGGACCCCAGCCCCACTGGAACAAGACCGACACATGGGAAATGGGACCCTGGTGCTCATACTAAGGAAGGGAACAGAGGCCTCCAGTGCTCATGAGTCTCACAGGCAACTTGAGAAATTAGCAAATGAACAAAAAACTAGACTAAGAGACAGAGAGGTAAGAAACAAAAAATGTGTTAATAAAATAAAAACTCCAAATTAATGGGTTAGACTCTCAAAGTCAAAAAGGAAACAGTCTATCATCTAACACAGTAACAAAATAGGAAGATGAGAAGACAGAGACAATATTAGGATTACAGAAGGAGCACAGTTACAGAGTTCAGAGACACGATTTATAGCAAGACAGCACCATAAACAACAGAATGACAATGTATTTGAAAACTGGGTAAAATGGCCCGCTCCCAAGAGGAATATAATTTACAGGATTGGGTCAAGGTGAAAGGTAGCCCTTGAATAGTTTGATTCATTGTGAAGACAGCGAACTACAAGTTAAACCAAAAAACACAGAATTTGTTAAAGCTACATCATGACCAAGGGGTGCTCTCTAATGTAAAGAGAATTTTGTATGAAAATAGAATTTCAAAAATACAATGTGGGGTGAAGCTGGGGATTTAGCTCAGCGGCATAAGCACCTGCCTTGCAAGCAGGCGGTCATGAGTTCGATCCCCGGTACCAATAAAAATGAAAAAGACAAAAAAAAAATACAATGTGGGGGCTGGGGACTTAGCTCAGTGGTACAGCGCCTGCCTGGCAAACATGAAGTCCTGAGTTCAATTCCCAATATCCCTCTCTCTCCAAAAACAGAACAAACAAACAAACAAATTTGGTCAACAAGGGAAAAAAATCACTCATAACCAAGTAGTTATCTACAAAGGACCCCAAAAGAATGTACAATCCTGAGTTGTTAGAACTGAGCATTGTCTAGTGAGGGCGCTGTGAGCATTAGCTACAAAAACTAAATACCTATTCAGGCACTTGCTGGCAAGTTAGGAAGTGTAATATCTAGAGATAACATCTACAACAGAAATTTTATAAATGTGGTAATAACAAATTAACAAAAGACACACAGAACTATTACAGAGAGTTTACAAAGGAAAACCAACCAAGAACTATTGAAAGACACTTAAGATGCCTATGACTAGGGATTATTAGTATGTTTCAGAAGAAAAAAAAAATAGTGACACTGTTCAAAACCCAGATAGGAAGATTTTTCTACGGACCCATTACAATAGATTTAGGGTGATCTACCTAGGGGTCTTGTGGGGGAGGAAGATTGTGGGCGTGATCTGGAACACAGAATAGGTAGTTGGAGCCCTGAGCAATGAGTGGAAAATAGCTAAAAGGAGACATCAGGGTAAAGACATTCTGCCTGCAATGATTTAACTGCAAGATTCCTGCTGCAGAGCAGGGCAGAAGATTAGACATCACTGGCAGGTGGTAGAGAAAACATCTCACCAGATATGGACAGTGATCAGATATGGAAAATGTGGGGCTGTTGATAATTCTGACTTCACAGAGTTCTTTGGCGTCAACTGGATTTCACAAGAAAGTACAAAGGTGAGCCTAGGAGGAGGTTCAGGAGTCTGACTAAAGTTCAGCCAAATAAAGAATATTTTTGAAAACAATTATATTAAATATTTCTCGAGAGCTAGGACACCATTATGGAAAAGACAAGCAGTTGAACAGGATGGGCACAGGGTGAACAAGCAGTTTTCAGAAGAGAGAAGCCAGGAAATGAGAGAAAGGTGTCTGGCAAAAACTGAATCAAAAACACCACAAGGTGCAAATGGGGGAAGAAGTGTGAGTCAGGACAGGAAAGACTCATCTTTGCGGTAAGCAGCTAATCAGTACAGGTCAGAAGGCAGAATTCAAAAAGCACCCTTTGTAGCCAGTAGTGCAGTAGTTAACTGAGCAAGGATTGTTGGTAGAGACTTGGGTCAAAAGTGAGAAGTTTGTGGGGGCTGTGTGTTCACTCTCAGTCTACCATCTAATTGATCACTTGAAGTTAAAACAGAGAGCTAAAAAAAATTTTTTTTTAAATTCAAAAAAAAAACAAAAACAAAAAAACAGAGCTAGCAGTGGCCACCTTAACCAACTGATCAATCTTCAGTTCACCAGTGTTGGGACAGACGCATATCACATGGCTCCCAGGAAATGTCCTGGGAGTCACTAGACCTCACCCGAGCAATGTTCTCACCAAAGCCTCCAGCCTGAACGGAATTGTGGAAAAGCTGCCAGACACGTCCAAAGCATAGGACACTCCTAAGTCTTCTGTCCCATATTCTTCAACACTTCATCGACTAAAAGGGAAAAAAAAGAAGTGAATTGTTAGAAATGGAGAAACTGTAAGGACTTGATTTTTAAATATGATGCAAAGGCTTAATCATACACTCGCAGGAGGTTTTTTGTTCTCAGAAGGCACAGTTTGCAACTGAGTCTCTGTGGCTCAGGAAGGTGGTAGAGAGAAGGCAACAAGTCTAACTGCACCCAGAAGTGAAGTCCTTGTGCTCCTGTGCTGCTGG